AGTTTTGCGGCTTCCCAGGAAAAACCAAAACCGCCATTTTCGGGGGGGCCCACTAAAAAGACACACCCGTATGATTCATGATAGTCACATGTCTGCAAGAATTGCGATAAGACTGCTGAAGCATGATTTGCTGTGCTGATTGCTCATCTACCAAGCCGGGACTGACTTTGACATACTAAATATGTGAACGTGATGGCCAGCCACTGTGCAAGGACGGGTAAATGAGACAAAGTTTGGAGGGGCGTGGGAGGAAAGAACATAGACATCGCCGCATGGATACGGATTGTGTGTCCAGCTGCCTCGTACAACTCATGAAGGAACGTGAAGGAAATGATGGTTCCAAGGTCAATCTCTAGATACAATATCTTGAGCTTGTCAAAGAATAGGAGCAAATGTGAAAGCCACGGGAACGTGGTGTGTGTTGTGTGTAGTCTGCGATTTGTAGCGTGTGTGAGGCATGTAAGCCGGATGAGGCGCATAAGACTTGCAAGGCTCAAAACCGGTGCATAAAGTAAGCAGCGCAGCAGATAAGAGCGAGACAAATTGTTAACAAAGTGGGTAGCTGAGTATGGTGGGCGCGGGTGTGCGTGCAGGCTTCTGCGTGTGTTGCACTTTCTGCACGCGTGCATATGTGCACCTGTGATCTGAGGTGCTTTGGTGTGGCGCCAGGAAGCGTGGTGTGGCAGGATGCAGTGTAAAAGCGCTCGGTGCACAATCTGCGGTGTTTTGTGTTGCGGAGTGTGTGGTGCGTGGTCTTGTGTGGTACGAGTACTGGGTGATGCGATGCTGCGGCGGTGTGCTCCGTGACAAGCTGTGTCGCCATGTTAGCTAAGCACTTAGCTAAGCACGTAGCAAGGCACTTAACATAAACACTTAGCAAGTGGTTGGCTACTGGCTTACTAAGTTGGCTAAATGCTTAACATAGCTGAGCTAAAGTCCTGAGCAAGCTCTCGGGTCACCCACATGTACCGTGCCAGCGCGAAAGTTGTGGTAAACTGTCCCAACAGGGTAAAGGCATACAAAGGATCGGCGGCCTTTCTTTCCTGCGGTACCGCTTGAGGCTTCAAGTCTGTTTCTGACAACTGCCTTCTTGGTGGTTTTTTGCTTTCCTCGTGCTCCACTTGATCCTGGCACCTCTTTCGTTGCATGTGTTTCTTGGTGTTTCTTTTTTTCCGCTGCAGCAGCGAGTGATCAAAGCAATCATTCCAACGCAACAAAGAGATTGAAATAATTGTCGAACCCGCGGAGTGAAGCGTGACATCCCTTGTTGAATCACAAAGAACCCCCCCAGAAATGGCATAGAGGGACCATCTCTATTTGTTGTCTTCCCATCAGACGTGGATTTACGATCTGTCTGATGCCCATGACTCGTCTATGGAGGCTGCTGACCATAGATGCCCTGTGGACTTCCATGGGCAAGGCATCCTTCCTTTTGGCTGGCGGAACGAGTTCAAAGGGGAACCCAAAACGCGCAATCCACTGGGCAACTGGGAGAACCCCCAGGGACAATGGACTTCTCCAGTCGACCGATTTGCCCGGATTGGGCTCCCGGCTGATGCCAGCTTCGAGGGCCTGATGGTCCCTCGTCATGTCCTGCGAGCTTGGAGCCACCCTACCTTTAAGAAAGGGGTCTGTTCTTTTGTTGTTTGTTTGTGTTTTTTTTGGGTCGGGGGGGCATCAAGAATGCGTGGTTTCCTTGTGGTTTCCCTTTAAACTAACCAAAAAGGGAGACCTCGAAACAGCAGACCCATATTGGAACCCAAATTATTTTGCGAAACGAGTTCCAAGGGCCCGGTGACTTCTCTTGACTTCGTGGAGCAGCTTGAATCAGTGTCACTCTATTTACTCGGGCGGCCAAACAACATGCTGAACTCTCTTACGAGTCACCTACGTAGCATTAGCTTGGTGTCACTGGCGTTGGCAGAAAACATGGAATCCTTTCCTTGAATTTAAGCAAGAAATGAATGGATCTGAGAGGACCGTGTCTATTGTGCGCCAGCATCAGGCAGGAGCAGACCCCACAAGATTGACTCGCTTGCTCGCACAATCAAGTCCCGTCAAACTTGAGATCTCCACATTCTGGTGTGGCAGGTCTTGGATCCAAAACTTGAGGAAACACAAGAACATCTCCAAGCAAGCGAAAGTTCAAGCCAAGCATCCCATCTTGAACACCTTGGGGGAGACAGTGGCTTTCATCCCGCAGAGCATCAACAATTTGTGGGTCACTACAAGTAAGTCTTGTGTATGTCGTCCCGTTTCTATCTGATGTGCTCCAGCGTATTGTCAAATCCAAATGTGAAACTACATCCCTGAAACGTGCTGGATACATGACACTGGCTCCATACAGGTCATGATGCATCAACTCCAGGCAGCTCTGCCATGTGAACCTCTTAACTTCGTTTGGCACGTAGGGTCCACTGGGCCAATGGATGTCTGAGCTCAACTGATCCAATTGACCAAATTGACCCATCTGACCCAACTGGCCCAGCTGACTCAACTAACCCAATCCAAATTGAGACTTGATATCAACTCACCAAACTCGCCAATCTGGCCCAAGACACCGAACGACCCCAAAATCGAACCCATCCAACTGGTGGTCTGACCCTGAAATCAAAAAATCCCCAGGTTCGTTCCATTCCTCATTCCATTTATCTCATTCCAGCAGTCCATGGGTACTGGCTCGATGGCTCGGAGCCCCCGCGGAGCCAAAGGCCTTGAAGCCTTTCTCCAGGCCTGGGATCTCGGGAAGGGCTGGTGGCCATAGGTGGCCTTTTGGAGAAATGGATTGGCTTTTGGTAAATGAAATGAATTCTATCTAAACCAGGGCCCGGGCTATTTTTTAAGCAAACCAACCAAAAAGGACCCCATATGGCTATAGCTTCACAAGTCCAGCCAAAAGAATGGTTTCTTAAAGACCTGTTTTGCTTGGCTTCCTGAAAAAAGACCCCGAAGAGCAAAACAAGGTGTTGGAAATCCAGGTTGGGAAACACCCAAATGAGGGAGGCTGGAGTGCGGGCAGTTCAAAAAGGGGAACAAACGCATGGTGGAGGCTTGTTTCAGGCGCCCCATCTCTTTGATGAGTACGTACTGTGTGGTTCTCTTTCTCTAACAGGCAGACACATAGGTGTCCTGTTTGGTTGTTTTGGTAGAAAAATAGATGGCGATTCGTGGTTTACGGTGGTTTAATCATCTACCAGGGCCATCTATATATTCCCCCTAAAAGACAAGAATGCCTGCAGCTGCCCCGCGAAGCTGGCACTTTCCTGCCTAAATGCTTGGAGGGAAAGCCGCTCGTGTGCTCATTCCTCATGGGAAGAACGCCACATGAAGCACTTGATTGCTGGGGAAAATTCAACAGACAGTCAGAGTAGTTCGCTCCCTCCCCTCAATCTGCCTCTGTTCCGATCCACTGATACAAGGATGTCCTCGTTCCTTAACCCATTGATCATATTGATTTGAGCCCCGTGGCCCAAGGATGACTCAGACATGACTCCTAGTACTTGTAGACGAACCCAAATATGTGACACGACGACCCACAGATGACCCATGACAGAATTTAGTTGATGTCTTCTCAACGCAGCCTTTGCCCTTTGAAACTCAACACTAGAGCAATATTACTGTAACGGGTGCATCTTTAAACGCTAAAACCAAAAGCGGCTCGCATACGAGCCACCGGCACCGCTGCCTCATACCTACTTAAAATATCAAAATGCCAACTTTGGTCATCTGAACTGAAGCCAGGGGGAGCCGTTGTGTGGGCGAAAGCAACAAATCGCTTCTAGTCAGCTTTTTCACAATGTCTCCTGTGCCAAATCATATTGTCAATCCAGCATTTGGAGGAGCCCCTCGTGGGAAAGCCCAGTGACCGCTGCCTCGAATCGGTCTCAAGGCCGACAAGGTCCAAAAGAACGACATTCGATCAACCAAATTTGGACCAAGTTCAAACCAAAGCTGGTTTCATTACTTTACCATGATCAAAGTCATCCCTAAGTGGTGGGTTGAAGGGAAACACCCCCCATTCTCTGACTTTAATAACCCCCAGAAACAGTGAAACTAATGCCCCTCTGCAAGAAGTTTCACTTTGTGTGGGTTTAGTGGAAAGCCCCTTGATTTCCCAAAGAGTCAAAAGTCTAAAGATCTAACCCCATAGCAGTCAAGTTCAGGTTGGATCAAGTTACCTTCGGCTTTCCCGCCCAGGTCCGTTTTTCCCGGCACCCCGGCGGAAGGAGCCCATGGCATAGCCGCCCCAGTCGTTGAGCCCTGGCTCTGCGGCTTTCAGGGCGTGGTACCTGGGCGCGAACCGGCTTCACGGAGGCAAAGCCGGACCACCCACCGGGGCGCAAAGAAAAAAATCTCGAGCTATTGGCCCCATGGAAAAAATCTGTGAACAAGGTCACTCTTGGGGGAACAAGCTCAGGTGATATCCCCAACAGCATGCGGTGCTCTTAGTGCTCGCAACCCCGCAGCCCTTGGAGAACCTCCTGGAAGCCTCGTGGAAGCCTCGTGGAAGCCTCGTGGAAGCCTCGTGGAACCTTGGCCTCAGGGCCGCCCCGGACCCCGGAGCCTATCTGGGCTGAGACCCCAAAGCTTTCAGCTGTTGGGAAAAAAGAAAAGGGACCCTCTTTGCGAAGTCGAGCCTGGGTCCCTCGAAACAAGTTGATTTCCTCAGTGCAAGTTACAGCGTACTGACCGCTCTGGCCCGAAGATGCAGTCAGCCAATTCTTTCCTAATAGCTTTGTGATGCCAGCCTGTACCGTGACACGCTCCGGCTGAAAAGCTTGTCGCCGAGCCAACTCTGCAAGACCCCGATGGAGGACCACATGGGCAGGGTCGTGCCACAAAAACTGCCGCCTGCACTCGGGGAGACAAATACGCACAGAACTCGCCGCAAAAGACGAAGACGCCTAAAGCATGCGCCAGCACTGGCAAGACGCACTAAATTACGACGAGTGATAAACCTGGATTGGCAGCGAAAATGGAAGGTAAAGAATCTGGCACATGCAAGATTATTACGGACACAAGCAGCCGCAGTCACTAGCATGATGAATGACGCGGTCAGCCAACATAAAAGCTCCAGTGGCTACCCTGACGCTATGGGGGGCAGAATATCCAGGATTGCCCAAAATGCAGGCGCGGCAACTCCCACGCAAAAGGCGTCGCCGAAAGCCGGGCGATCCAACTGATGGCGGAGGCAGACCTATGTTCTGAGGGCAGCAGCTGTCTCCAGAATGAAGCGGCATTGAACATCATCAAGACAATGCAAATGGCCATATTCATGTCGAAGGATTTTGCGGGCTGAAATTCCGAGGGCGGTCCCTGACTACAAGGCCTTAGTGAGGGGCAGTGCTAAGATCTGGCGAGAACACAAGTATTTCCAAAAAGAGCCAGGCGGTAGGGCAAATCCATGAGTTGTGGCGCCATTCTTGGCAGGGAGAGCCCTGGGCAGTCTTTGTGCTTTATTGGGCTTGGGCCTGTTTCTGTTGGGCGTCCTCCCTGGCAAGTCTGGAAGTCTTTCGTCAGTGTGATGAGTTTTTGCCCTCTGGCGGCCATTTGCAGTCTTGCTGGGCTTCTCAACAAGTCAGACTGCATGCTGGGTCATTGCAAGAAGCTACGGCCATAGTGGAGTGGAGTGGAGTGGAGTGGAGTGGAGTGGAGTGGAGTGGAGTGGAGTGGAGTGGAGTGGAGTGGAGTGGAGTGGAGTGGAGTGGAGTGGAGTGGAGTGGAGTGGAGTGGAGTGGAGTGGAGTGGAGTGGAGTGGAGTGGAGTGGAGTGGAGTGGAGTGGAGTGGAGTGGAGTGGAGTGGAGTGGAACTTGAAGCGCAACAACTTGAATAAACCAGCTGTCCTTCCCAAAAGCAACTTCTTTGACGCGGTTCTCGAAAAGGAGCAGAAGCAACGAAACCGGTTGCTGGGACATCCGACAGCCTGGCCACGTCCTGTGTGGCCGGATGTAGCTCCCAGCCTCGGATAAGGATAAGGAGAAGGGGGGGAAGGATACGCTGAAACTCACCATGTTCCCTTCTAGGAAATCTACGAGGAATATGTGAGAAATATATATATATATACATTCAAACAGGTGGAATATGCCTAAGAACCATACGCGGGCAAGCTGAAATATAGATATCAAAATAGATGTGGAACCATACGGTGAAGGTCTATGGAACAGGGCTCCCTATACTTCCCCCTTAACACATCACTCCCAAGGGACAGTCACCTTTCATGGGCCAAACAGCAGGTGATGTTTGAAACCACCAAAAAGGGAAACACAGGGATCCCATGCTTGTCCTCTGACATCAGTTTCCAGTCTTTCCAGGTTTTGAGGGTATCTTTTGAAAACCCAGAAAGACTGAAAGCGGATTGCGGCCAGCGACATGTTGCTTGCCAGCATTGCCGAGCGATTGGGATGTCCAAGGATGAATGGTGGCGAATTCAGCTGCCATGGCCCTCCAGTCCTCACAAGTTTCCTGAGAGACCCAAATGCCTTGTGTGACATGCCTACAACAAACCCAAAGAACTGCTGCATTCTGATATGTCGCACGGCCGCACAAAGATCAAAGAGCTTAGACGCCATGCTCCCTGATCCAAAGCGGATGCTTTCTCACCAGAAACGTCAAGTTGGATTGAGCCATCGATCGCACTCTGAGATCAGTGTAAACTTTAAACCTCCATTTGCCCTGGCCCCCTGGAAAATATGTCACTAGTAGTGCTAGATTCCCTTTAAACCAACACGGGGGAAATGAAGATAATGGAAGCAACTGGCATCTAAGGACTTCTGTTTGCAACCTTTCCGCCATGAAGCTACCCCCCCCCCCCCAACTTTTGGGCGGCAGAAACACCCTCCTTCGAGGCCCAGGCCGAGCTCGCCGGTGAAGGAGACCCGCAATGCCCGGCCTGGGACCGGGAAACTCGGAGGTGTTGGGACAAGGACCACCGGCCATCAAATCGATACGGAGAAGCCCACAGCAACTTGGCCGAGATTCATAAATGAATTCAAAAAAAAGATACGTGTGTAAAACTATGAAGCCAAGAAGTGTGCAGTGCTACTCTACCTGTGTCTCAGAGCGGACACCATGTCCAACTACGTTGGGATCTTACCCTGAGATTTAGATTTGACTTACCGAGAGTGCTGGCTCTGAATCATTTCACCAGGAAAGATGGCCTGGGCCATGCAGCAAATATCAACGTCGCATGTCACTCCACCTAGACTAGGACTGATTCCGTACATGGCCTGGTAGATCGCCGAAGGGGAACCCGCGGTTCAAAATCAATGTGAAAATCGAGGACACCTACTGCCGTGGGAGCTGGAGTGGCAACATCAAGTGGTGAGGCTATGTCTTGCTTCGAACGTTTGGGATTTATCTGAACCGGCACTGGGGCTTGGCGACTCGGAAGGACTAACCTCAAACTCCAGGCTGACCAGGAGAAACAGGCGTATTGCCCTCCCTCAGGTCGGCTGACTGGCGGTGCTTGAAAGGCAAACATCCCTAAACAGCTTGGGCCTTTCTGCGGGTGGAAGGGTATAGGGCCTGATGGTTCGGTGCAAAATCGTGAATGCCCAAGTTCGGTGGCTGATCCGCGTGCGTGGAATGCGCGTTGGTTGTGTCTGGTTGAACGTGTCTTCGTTTCGGAGTTGGTTTTATGTTTGCGTTGTTGTTCTTTCTTTCGGATCTCTGCCAAGGCTCAAGCTTGGATGCCCAAAAACTTCCTTCGTCCAGCGACCCGTGGCTTAGCTTCCAGCACGGAATCCCTGCCAGCTCGACTTCCCGCCAGGCATAAAACTTGAAGTTGTCCTAGCGCACCGCACACGCGATCGCGGCCGGGAGAGTGGAAATCGGTTTCCCCGTGGTTTGGGGTGGCTTTCCATTTACTCTCTACAAGAACCAGAGGCTCAAATCCCAAACCCCCAATCCAAACCACCAATTAGGGATGGGATTGCGAGAGTGCATCAGGTTCTTGTTTGTCGGTTTTGATTGGAGGTTAGGGGTTTGGCTACTTTACCCTTTTAGGTTCAACAAATTGACAAAGGAGGAAACCACCAATTAAGCGCTCCCTGAGTAAAGGGGCGGAAAGGGCTAGCAGAAGAGAATCAGAACATACAGATCCCGTGAGGAGTTTGGGGCCTTAACTCAATGGTGTTTCTTGGAGTCCCTGTACCAGGGGCACATACTATTTCAACTGGCAACTGCTTGCAACTAATCCTTGCCCACTCAGCCACTTACAGCAACCGCCCAAAGATGTCCCTCTTCGTATATGGTTTTATTCAATATCCATGTCTCCTTCGGAAGGCCTGCCATGATCTCCCTAGGACTCTTGTTGCAGAGCAATCCTTGTTTGCTTCAAACCGTAGATGGCGCAATTCATGATCATTCCCCGATCCAAATTTCGGAAGTGCAATCTGCCTTCACGCTGGGGTATCTCCGTATCTGGCGGCTTGTCGATCAAGCAAATGATTTCTTTCATGCCTCCACACATGTCCAGCATGCTCGGCTAAACGCAGGTCGTGCCACAATTGAAAGACTACACTCGATCTAGAGCTCGGAGCAGCTCCAGAACAAGGCAGCGGCCCAAGCCTGTAGGTGACCGGCTAATTGCAATTCTGATCCAAGTGCGTGCGGCCTCGCCGCCCCACTTCGACACTCACTCCTAGATTGCAAGCCTGTCGCTCCCCCTCATGTGGGCCAGGGATGACAGCGTTGTTTCCGCAAGACTGTGGTGGGGAGAACTGATTGGCTCAAGGCCCAGTCCCTGAAGAATGAGCTGTGTCTCTGGCTCTTCCGCCACACTCTAACAAATGCCAAGGAGCACCGCAGAGGCTAGCTAGCTTTCCACTTGCGCGTGTTGCGTCGCAGATCTTTCACGGCCCCGGCTGCCGTGCCCCTCACCGGAAAGAAGCCCGAAAGAGAGGCGCGGCAGCCAGCGGCCACCAAACTAAACAAAAAACATTGGACATGCGTCGGGCTCAGGCTTGATGAGCTGCGCCAGCACGGGCACGCCGAATCCCTCAGAGACGGGCCAACATGGGAAAGGTCGGCTTTGGGAAGCGAGATGCCTGCTGCGAGCACCTTCATGCGGAGCAGCGTCGTGGCCGTGGCAGCAACAGCGCATTGATGAAATTCCTGCTCTGTCATGAAGAACCCAGTGGCCTTGAAGCAAACGGACCAGTGCCGCTGCTTCTCCTCATTCGCGAAGTCGCGGGCGCCAAGGTCGCGAGCCCTGGGCAGCATCCACCTCCTCATGGGCGTTCACGGTGAGGTGCACTTGGTCCAGGCGCAGGTTGTACTCCTCCTCCAAGCTCTGCGCAAACATGGTATCGTCCAAGTAGGGCGCCAAATGCTGGACTTGGCGGTTTGCTGCGAAAGCAAAGCCGCCGTCTCGGCCAAGGTGAAGAAGGCACTTGAAGTTGGTCACCACGGGACAGGGTGACCAACTCCGAGCCCCCACCTTGGCCAAGACGGCGGCTTTGCTTTCGCAGCAAACCGCCAAGTCCAGCATTTGGCGCCCTACTTGGACGATACCATGTTTGCGCAGGGCTTGGAGGAGGAGTACAACCTGCGCCTGGACCAAGTGCACCTCACCGTGAACGCCCATGAGGAGGTGGATGCTGCCCAGGGTTCGCGACCTTGGCGCCCGCGACTTCGCGAATGAGGAGAAGCAGCGGCACTGGTCCGTTTGCTTCAAGGCCACTGGGTTCTTCATGACCGAGCAGGAAGTTCATCAGCCCCGCTGCGAGACGTCCACGTGGTAGAAGGACGCCAGGTCGGGGTACCGTGGGATGTCTTCTGCCAGACCAGCAGCATCCAACTGCAGCCGCCCGGAGTTGCGTGCGCATGGCGCATGTCTTGCAACTGAGGCCTTCAGGAGAGACGTCAAGCGGTGCAGTAAATATCTGCTAGGCCGAGCACCAGCCCTCTGGGAGCCAAGGCCTTGGAAGCGGCAATGCAGAGCTGGACTGCGCATCGACAGGAACTCTTCTGCCCTGCGCCAGCACGTGGACTGTCACATAGCCATCCATGGGCTTTATGACCTGGGCGCCTCAATGTCACCCTCGCGCCTCGCCAAAGATGAGCGCTTTGCTCCACAAGCCGGGGGCAGACAATGTCCACTCGCCAACCAAACTCGGCCAAAGGCACGCGGGGCAGCGGACGTGGAAGCAGAGGAGAGGCAGCTGTCAAGTTCTGGACGAACACGTTCCAGGCCATGACGTAGTTCTCACGAGCAACCCTTGGATTCTTACGCTTTTTCAACACATTATGCGCATGAAAGCAGTGCACGCAAGCCAAAAACACAGAGTTCACGGCGTAAGCAAGAATACTGATACACGCCCAAGGTTCGCTTTAACATGATGCTGCGCGCTCTGGCTCCCGGCCCCTGGGGCAACTCGATGCCGACCAAGTGCCCCACCCGCTTCGCCCAAGTCTCGTGGCGGCTGAGCTCTGCGTAGGTCTCAATGACTCGCTTGAACATTCTGGAAAAAGCTACGCCCTGCGCCTGCCCAGCTGTTTTCTCGAAGGCGTCGAAATCCAGAAGAGCCCACCTCACACCGCCGGTCTCGGGGTCGAAGATCTGCGTCCCAGGGAATGCAGCCGCCTTCAAAACACGAGGCAAGAAGCTGCAGGACCTCCATCCAGTCCCGCGTGCGGCTGCTCCAAGCCGGGCGTCAATGGGCTGCGAAGCTGCAGCTGCCAGCGGTCCTCCAGCATCAAAGCTCCGCTGGCACAACATGACGCCTGCCACCGACCCCTCTGCGGCAGTGCTGGCAGTGCCCTCAGCGACGTCAGTCAGGGAGCCGGACACAAACACCGCCGTAGTACTTGGGCACGAGCCGCCAAAATCCGGAAGCCTCGCCACACATTTCAGTGTACATCCTGGCTTCCGCCAAGGCCTGCGTCATGTACGAACCACGAGTGGCTTTCACGAGCGGGGCAAGCAACCTGCAGTTGCGGGATCCCAGTTCTCTTGGTGTCAACATAGCGCACACCTTTTTTTCTTCACAGCCACGTGCAAAATGGCCCCGCCCCAAGATCCCTCCCAAGCCCACCTTGAACTTCCCGTTGTTCAAGGGTGCAAAGGTGTCTTGCACCGAGAACACTGCGCCACAACCTTGCCGCTGTCCAGCAGCGTCAAGTGCGATTCGGGTCCATGGTTGCCGGTCTAACCTCCGAGCCACAAAAAGCTGCCCAACAACGAAGCCAGCCCTTCCGCGAAACCTTCCACGCAGCTCCTCTTAACACTGAATGAAAGGGGGAAAGAAGGATATGCGTTCGTTGCCACTCTCGTTTGCCTCTCCCTACCTGAGCTGTCGATCCGTGCCTTGGGCAGTGCCCCTAATAGTAGTCGGAAATGATTTCTGACATAGACACAGCGGTGCACCGCACAGTGTCCTCGAAGATGTTGGCCACAAAAACTACGGGGACAACCTAAGCGTATGCCAAGAGTGCTTTTTTCTTCAAGGAGTTGACGGGGCTGGAAGGAGATGCCTCAACACTCAACATGTTCAACGAGCCGAAAGCCTGAGCTTCGCCAAGTGGCAAGAATGGGCTTAGTGCAAACAGTCAGGCCGCCCACGCAAAAGGCCGCACCTAAAAAAACCAGCTGCAGAAGCGGCACGCGTAGAAAACCTGGGCACGGGACATGTCAAGCTTGCGGACACTGGGGGTGGGGGACATGTTACAACACGTGCAATACGTGTATGCTTTCCTCTGTCCCTCTGACCACAACACTGCCAGGACTTGCAACGACGGAAGTCCACCAAGCTGAGTCACTACAGCTTGCCAGGGGGCAGCCTGAAGACCTGCCCAAGACTTCAAGAGCGGGCGTCCTCCACCGAAACGATGTCCGCAAGCTCATCGCGTGAAGCCAGCAGGCTAGTTTCCGGCATGCCCTGTACTTTAGCCAAAAGGGCAACACGGGCGGGGGCATCCCCCCACCACGCCAATCATCTAAGATCAAGGACGAATTTATCTATTCATTCATCTCATAATTCCATCCCATGCATTCATCCATCCCATGCATTCATCCATCCAAGTATCCAACCATCCATCCATCTAAACCCCCATGTCTTCCCCGGACCAAAAACGGCCCCGGCCCCGTCCTTGGACCAGGCCTCCTCGTCCCCGGCCATTTGGCCCAGCACCCGGCGGCTCTCTGGGCCCGACACCATCAGCCTAAGCCGTTGGGCTTGGTTCCCGCGGTGTGGGGAAGTTCCACAGGAAATTGAACCCAGAAGCCAAAAGATGTATGGTCGTTTGCTGCTTCAAAAGTCGTTTCCTCTCCCGTCCACGTTGTTGCGAAACCTGACCGAGGGCTCCGATATGAAGACTATTCTCCTTTGAAAAAGCATGAGGATAACCACCAGGAAAAAATGCCAAACCACTCAAGAAATTATTTTCTTGTAGGAACTCCCGGTTGCTGGTTTCTTGGTCGAAAATCACCGCCATCGTTTCAGCTGCCAACACTCCGAGCCTTAAATTCGGCGTGGGGGAACATTTCAGCTTTTAGCCAAAAGTCAGCGCTGGAGATCATTCCAAAACCTGTTGGTTCGGCTTCCTGTCAGCTTCCAATGCTTATGATATCAAATAACATATGTTAAAAAGATCCCAAAAAAACAACAACATGTCCGACCCAAGCAAACAGGTGCTGATGTGTTGCCACTGGGATTCACTGGGAATGCAACATCACGCAAAGCAAAGCACAGAGCAGCACTGCGATGGTCAAACGCAGGCAAACAACATCTCAATGAACTATTCCACCCAAATGTGAGGCCCTGAACATGTCTCCATCTCAACTGATGCACTTCTCAAGTGAACACCTCGGGAAAACGATCGAATGTGGCTCCAGTTTTAGAGGAATAAATGGCATTTACTGCGATTGTCAATTAGGCTTTATTCAAACATGGCAAAATGCAACTTAAGCTTTGTCGTACTACTGCCAACTATAGAGCCACCCAAACCTAAGGATTCGGGCCCAGAAAACTGTCGAAGGCGCCTTCTTCCGTCTCAGCCCCGTACGTGCCGAAGTCTGCGGTAACGTTCTCGATCTCTACGCCCTCGGTTTTGTTCATCTGCATCCACCGCCAATCGAAGAGCTCCTCGAGAATTCTGCGGAGCCTTCAACCTCTCACTCACTTCAGTAGACTGGCCAGAAAAAGTCAAACTTTCAATTTGCCGCTAAAATGGTCTTACCAAAAAGTTCAAAGTCTAGGAACTCAGGGAGTAAGCTGAAGTGTTGGGCCCTTCCTTGAGATGAGCAAAATACTATTTCTAGGTACATGACAATTGAGCAAACTGTTTGAAGTAATCATGTCGATGGGCTGAAGCAAGCAAGTTGCGTTGCGAAGATGATCCCTGCTTGTGAGAAACCAGGCTGTTATGAAAAGGGCTTCATGATTGCAAACCATCACTGGTCTGGGAATGAGATATCCTAGCTGCTTACGCTGGCCCTTCTCGTGCGCCTGTTCGAGCCTGCTGCCTAGAGTTGTCCCGTGCTCGCAAGGCGCAACCGCTCGAGGGGGAGAGGACTGCTGAGGTTGCATGGCAAGATGTGCATTGAATCACGTCAAGCGTTTCAAACGCTTTTAGCATCATGTGGCTGTGGGTCAAAATTAACGTGTCATTCGGGGACCGCAGGTTTTGGGCCTTGGTTCCATTTACCAAGGTTCCATTTTGGGTATATTTTTGACCCACTGCCATGTCTCAATGGGGAATGGGGAAACCCACCACCTGGTCCGAATGGACCGAACCGAATGCGACATACTGCTGCAACACAAGTTCATGAAAGCGTTGGGCTCAAACCCGTTCCGGATTCGGAAATAGAACCAGGCATATATATGTTGCTTGAGCAACATTTTAAATGTGTTCTTACGTTTGCACTCTTTTGGGTGGTTCAGCAAGAGGCCACTCTTGCCCATTGGCTATCAGAACGTGGCCAGAGGATGGTTCTGGTATTCTCCATATAACCCTTGTCGTAAGCCAGGAGCTACGACCAAGGGGCACAATGGAGAGCTACATAAGAGGCTTGCATGTAGCATCAGTACAGTTGATCTCATTTGTTGCAAGTAGACACAAGACTGAAAGCTCCGTACATGAACATGTAAAATACGTGAATCAATGATAATCAATGGTAGCTTCGAAGTCCTTCAGGGGAGCACTTGCGACTTTAGGTTAAAAAAGGGAACAATGCCATCAAGGGTCAAAGGGATGACTAAATAGCATGGAATAGTCTAGCTTCCTTAGGCTACAGGGGTATCATTCTTGCAACAAATACCTTCCCGTCCACGCTGCCATGGAACCTGACGTTTTGGCGTGGAAGACTAGATTCCTTTAAAAGGGACCCTCTGGTGGGTTCCGTGGCAACGTGGACAGGGGGGTATGTTTAGATGACGTGTCATGTTTAGTCAACCTCAACTTTTAAAATCTTCACATATTGGAGAAGGGTCTTCAGGTTTTAGGGTCTTTGCATGAATCGTTCGGCACCTCCCACACCATCTGGAGCAAACCAACCCCGGTTCGGCAAACCGTGGTCCTGCTCCGGATAGCTCACCACATAGAACTTCTCCTCGGCCAGGCGGACCAGCATCACTTCGGAGCCGATCTTCCCCTCCGCACGCCCGGTGCACCGACCCGCCGGCGGGTAGAAAACCTCCGCGTAACTTTGCCACTGATTCCGGCAGCCAGGGAAGGGAATCCACAGGACCGCTCCCTGCGTACCCACTGTATTGATAAATCGGATCCTGTGCAACTGAAATGTGTTTGGGCTACTGCAGGCCACGATAAACCATTTACAAACTGATATCAGGGCACTTTGTTTTCACAGTGATGTAAGTTCCGGACAGAATGAGCAAACTTGTTGCTGCAAAAAAACACTCCCCAAAGAAAAAAGGGGTGCCTTGTTCAAGGAGTGAACAGCAAGACAAGCACTTAAATCTCAAGTTGGAGAACTCGAACGCTGGGATCCAACACACCAGCCATCCCCCCCAAAAAAAAACCGCGAGTGGGTCCCGAACAGGCCTGCGGCGTCAGGAAGTACGAGAGCGCACACCGGCCCACGTTTGGTAGCCTGGCACAGGCAACAACAATATCCGATGAAATTGGTTCCACATCCGTTTCAAGGGACTCTGCTTGGCCCGTCGGACATTTCTAGGCCCCTAGGCTCAGATCCGAGGCTGTTCTGGGCAAACTCTGATCTGGTCGCCGGTCAGTTCCAGCGCCAACGTGGGTACAAACAAGCCCGGGCAACTACTGCTGGGTGTGTTTGGTTCCAGCAACAACCATTGTGTTCCATCAAGATGACATATATAGGCATAGGCGATGTTTGTTAGCCTCGTGCAGAATCATGGCAACGCACAAAACGTCAGGTGGCCATGTACGACAGCCAGCTGAGCTGACAAATCCATAAACAGGATCCAGATTTCCTGGAACCGTTGATTCCACGTACACCCCTGCAAATGAACCAAAGGATCTCAAAGACCTTTGTGTGGACTCTCTTTTAACGGAGTTCCACGTGAATCTTCAGAGTTCTTTTAGGGGTACCCAATGGAAGGCGCTAAGGAATAGACATGTGAGTCATAATCAAACCTGGATTAAAAGTGTGTGCCCAAAACCCTGTAAAGAATTGAAAAGGCTCCGGGATATATCGCTGGGATTATCCCTTACAAATTTCAATCTAGCCGGCTTTTCATTGTGACTCACGTGACTCATGTGACTCATGTGACCTGCTTTGATGGGATTCATCGTCTCCGGGCAAGTTGCGAGGGTGGACAAATATCGGACCCAGCCTCTGAATCACATCCGAGGTTTCATGATTCAAAACCCCTTCAAAGGACTCCCCGGTGATTTGGCACGCAAACACAACGCAAACGGCGCCAAATGGATCGGGTTTTGCTCCTGCGACCTCTGTTGCTCTTAGCTCTGGGCAGAGGAAAAATGAATGGACGGGACACATTGTGGGACCTCTTTTGGGACCTCAAGGTGTCATTTTGATGCAGGTCCATTTGGCCAACCCCCCCAGCATGACAAGCTTGATGTTACGTACAGCTGAGCCAAATCCCACTTTGCCTGTGCTTCAAAAGTCGCGCGAACCACATGGCCCATCGCCTTGCCTCCGAACACAACCTGCCCCCCCCCCCCTCGCCCCCCCCGCCTGTTGGGCACTAGGCGATCTAAGAACTCCTTGGCCCTTGGCCCAGAGACGTGGTACTTGGCGAAGGGCCAATAACCTCAGAGCACCGGGCGCCAAAGGTGAGCTTTTAACAAACGGGGCAGCGAATGCGATATCCAAAAGACCGGAGTTGAGTGTCCGGTGGCGCAGCATGAGCAGGTCCGTGCATCGAGTGTGTTGTGTATGTCATGCTTGTTGTTCAAGTAAATGTGTGGGGGATGGGCGGGAGAGTGGGAGAGAGGGAGGGAGGAAGGGAGAGAGGAAGGAAGGAAGGAAGAGAGTGATGGAGCGGGGTGGGCTGGGTGGGTGGGTGAACAATTTCAAGTGTAACTTCGTACTAAGCATGCAATCGTGTATACATTGCAGCTGTAACCTCTCCTGGCCTTTGACCGGGGGGCACACCGCAGCGGGAAAAAGCTGTCAAGCCTTCCAGATTTCTGCGGCAAATTTGGGAGCCACACAGCGACACGCTCCGAACGTCAGAAAGCTCCGGTGCGCTTGTATTTACACCCATGAACTCTCCCATTGAAAGCCCAGCCCCCAACCCAAACCCACTGAACATGGGGGAGAAAAAAACACGTATTGTTTCCGTTCCCGACAAACCACTGGATCAAGCAGCCACATATCACAGACTAGTTTGGGCCTTGTCAGCATCCCGCACCGAACCCAGAAAAGAAACAGCCAACAACTCCTTAAAGGGGCTTCCTTCACCCTCGGCATCCCGGATCTGTTGTTTGCCGTGTGTTCCATAAAAGAGAATCTGGAAAAACAATTACACACAGCAACATACGAACTGGGGCTGCTGGAGTGGTCACAATATGAACGCATGCCAAAGTTCAAGCTATAGATACTTGGCTTGGTACGAACCCCTGTAGAGCTACTGTAAAATAATCTTGCTGGTGCGATAGGTAGGGAATGACCCAATTCGGGTTTGGGGAATGAACCGGAAGGGGTTTCCCTTAAAGGAAACCAAAGGGGATAATTTATAGTGGTCATTGAAAAACAAATTGTCTGAACAACTTCTTCGACGGTTCGTGCATCTCGAACCTGTGGCTAACACCTGCTGCACATTGAACCGAAACCACTCTGGGAATCTTTGGAGGTCATACGCGGGCACAGGGGCGTAAAAATAAGCCACACGAAACCCTCGCAATGTCCGAGACAAAGAGGGCCCCTGTTTGTTGAGGAACAAGTTGATGCTTCCTCTGAGATTGCACACCAAATGCTGGTATGATGAGAGAACAGAGACTGTAAGTTGTATACATTGTTGCTCAAAAGGGAGGTATCCCAAATCCGCAGTCAGTAGCTACGGCGAGGAAAGCCACCATCTTGACAACTTGACCAAGGATTGATTTTGAAGAACCCAAGTATTGGATTTCCGTTTTTACGGGTACCCTTTTCAGGCTGGTTCAAACGGAACCCACCGTCTCCCTATTTTGGCATATACCCGTATAGCCACTCATTCTATCCACACTTCAACTGCTTGCCCGTGCGGCCGATCCCTCAGCTGAGGCACAAATACCCCCAAAGCTGGCCATGCCCCGACACTCGTTCTCCACCAGGTCCTACCAGTCTCTGAAACTTCAAGCACCCAACGACCGAAGCAAAAACACAACATAAAGCAATGAGCACTGTCAGCCTGAAGCATGCAACGGATCGCTCAATCGGAACATCTGACAACTGTTGCTGCGCGGGGCAGGAATCCAAACTGGGGCATCCAACTTCTTCTCAGAACCCACCGAGAACAGTTGGCCAACCTTTAGATGCTCCCACTTGACCTTCGGCCAACTGCCTACGGACCATTTGGGCACCCTGAAATCAAAAGTGCGCCAACACTAGGGACCCCTTTTGGGACCAGTTTAAGCGGAAACCGACAGAACAGCAACACTAGCAAACAGTACTGGTGGTCGATTCCCAGTTGAAGGACATGGGTGCTCACCCAAACTCCCCCCACAAAGCACCCAAAATTGACTTCGGGTTCCACCAAGGTAGCTCTCAAGGGACATGCAACCCTTGCCACCCCCCCCCCATGCAACCAGGAACCCCAAAAATGGGGTTCCCTCGCGCCGACGCCTGGTACGGCGGGCGGTGGAAGGAGCCCTTGGCGTTGCCGTGCTGGCCCACCGCCTGCGGGTCGAAGTAGTTCGCGGACTCCCAGCCTGGAGGGTGGCGGGCGGGCGTGGGTGGGTGGGTGGGTGGGAGGGCGGGCGGGTGGGTTGGGTTGGGTGGGTTGGGTTTGGTTATTTGGCAATCGAATGGAGCGAAACCCAGTGGATCATGTACTAAAAGGGAACCTGCAGGTTTTTCCCCAACCAAATACTAGAAACCTGGCGACAGCAGTCCATCTCGGCTGAACTTGAAGTCCAAAATCGGGACCCATGTTTGGTCGGGGAAGTGACATCAAATTCAATCAACTATTGGGGTGTCTACGTTGAAAATAGCAACTGTCTGCAACGGCAAAATTCAGACCCTTTCACCGATGGTTTTAAAGGATGGCCAAGATTAAACCTACCTTCTGCATGAATTCATTACCGTTGACACCTTCATGTCCACTCCAGAACCAGTGGTTTCACTGGTATATCAGTTCTGTGCGTACAAACCAGGAGCGCACTTCAGATCGTTGGCCTACAGCATCTGGATGTTCAATCAACACACATCTTGAATACGCAGAATTGCCTCCAACATGGAGCAAACATCGCAATGCTGGGGTATTTCTGTGCGTGCGCGGATGAAACCAACGGAACTTGACAAACACCTGGTGAGTAGGTTTGATGCATGATCAACGGTGCCCGGTGCTATGATAAGCCAAGTCTGAGCACATGGGTATATGTACTATATATTACATCATGATGCTTTTGATTGGCATACAGCTGAGCTTGTGGTGATCGAACCTTGCCCCAGCTTGACCTCCCATTCGGTGCAAGTGTCTTGTTTCCTGCCTGTTGGCCAACAATTGTGCTGCAAATGTCATAATCCCATTAAGCCAGGCAAATTGATGTTGGCGTATGATCTTGGCATTCGGATCGAATCGTATTGTTGATCAAGAGCAATACTTATTGGCAATACCTTACCCTCCACATGGCCAGTTCGAAGACAATGGAATCGAGACGCCACCCAGCTCAAATGCATTTTTCCGGGACAGAGACGAATACCCAAGAAAACGCTCCCGACCCGTACAAGGCCAATGAAAGCAGGATGCGAATCTATGCATCTCAAAATGATGAAAGACCCACTGCCATTGTGAAAAACTGGTGCCGCCAAGATGCCCACATTTTGTGATTCAAGCATTTTCTGCTATATTATGGCTCGGGTTACCTGCTTTGGTCAGTCAACAATAAATTCCAGGGAAGGAATTAGACCCCTTTTACGGGAATGATGCCCCCACCCCCCGCTAGAATTCAGGATATTGGCAACGAACAATATCCACTTACTAGTGGATCAACTGGTAAAGCTTCACCTACGCAGGTCTTGATCATGCAGCTGCGGTTCAACAAACACACCTCCAGGTCGTGTATCAACTAGTGCATGCCACACAAGATTACTAGCCTTTGACTGGAATCCGGGATGGCCAGGTTTGCTGCCGGCCTGCCCCTTGCCTTGCCATTTGCCGGGCTCGGATTTCTGTGAGCCTTCCTACCCGTCCGTAGGTTTCCGAAGTCAAGGCGCCGTTGTGGAAGCCGAATTGGCACCCTGCCGCATGCAGCACATCCTTAGGGTGAAAAACAAACACTCACAGAAGGACCGAATGTCCAAATGCCAACCTCACCCACGGAGTGCAAAACGTTTGGTGGAAAAGGGCACCCTTCTTTGATTGGTGGACACTTTGCGGGGGCACTTTGCCCAATAGACATAAAGTGCGGCAAGCCGGGCAACTGGGAAAAGAAACCAAGTATACAGACGCCAAGATTCAGGCAACATTCAGCTAAATAGGCAACATTCTGCTCGCACACCAGTCGATAGGCGTGGGTGACGGCCATCAGATCAAATCATTGCCAGCCGTGACAGGGCCAACAGGCGAAACACAAGCGTACTGTGCTGCGTTCACAGAAAGGGAATGATATGGCTATGGGAAAAAACCCTGTACCCCTGGTAAACATCAAAATAGGTGGCAAATGGATCTTCATCCACCCAAAAATGGAGCCATAGGTTATGCCCCATGGCCATATGCGTGTACCAGCCCTATGCGTTTTTGATAGAAGTTGTGGCTCGCCATGACACAGCCACGGTGCAGGCCGCTGCAAAAGCACCCTGGCCGAACTTCTTGGATGCATGTGGATACAGCCCATCTATTGGTCGAAATCGGGGGAGGACTTCCATCTGGATGTCTTTGTCAAGTCAATTCTATGAATCCGAAGGCCCAACAAACGAGACCTTCATCTTTCACTAACAAAACCCAGATTCTCAGCCAGCAACTCAGTTCGAAAAAGAAAAAAAGCATCCAGCCGAGGCACGTAGATGTCCTTGTTGGGCACAGGTTCAACGGGCCTGGGACACCAAAGGTGCCACCGAATGATTCGCCTTCCGTTTCGGCATGCCGACATTTTTTCACGTGCTAAACGATCTGCTGATCGGGGTCTGCGCCAAATTGAACTTCTGATCAAATGTGCAGTTGAGGCGCACGCCATGTCCGATGATCAGTTGTTCCAACCCAAAGAAGGCATGTGCGTGTCTCGTCTGCAGTCAGGATTTCAACGCCACTCCGGCGCCTTTCAAGTCATCCAGGCAGCCACTTTGTTGGGCCGGACCTCTCCGAAACATTTTGCGAAAACCCATACCTATTTGCACAAGGCCCCTTCTTCAGAAATCGCAGGCGGCTAAGATCATGTTTTCTTGTTGTTCCCATTGGCCTCTGAAAATTGATGCGGGAAAACCATTGATTGGCTGTAGCACAGCTTTTGCCTGTGGCTTCGGCGTTTAGTGACAGCTCCTTCGCCAATCCCCCGGGAGGCCCAAAGGCCTGTTGCTATTCCAGGAGATGCCCAACTCCAATGCCGTTCAAGAGCCTCAAAAATGACATCTGAGACATCTGCGCAGCCTCCTTTCTCCCTTCCCCGCACCTGCCACCGAGCAGGTTCTCGTTTGGGTAGTGCACGTGGTTATTCCTTAGCATCGGCCAGCGCAAGCACTGCAAGTGCGATCTCTCACCACCGATGCTTGCCCGGCAGGGCTTGCAATATTAAAGCCATTCACCCCTAGTAAATGTAAATAATCGAAAAATGTTTAGAAGATAATCCCGCACTGGGACTAATTGAGCTAGCTCCTCTAAGAATGCGCGCACCTGCACCTGATCTTGAAGACTAGATGCACTGCGAGGCGCTTGAAAAAACCAATAGAAGCGGGCCGAAAACGTGGCCCTGTTTTTTCAAAACCACCTCAGTAGCCACGCCGACGCGGAGGCGGTCTCGGCAGCGTTCCCGGAGCGGTCCGGAGCGCGTTCGGAAACGGGGGGCCAATTCACGGCGCGGCTTCGCACGGAAAGAAAAAGAGAAAGAAAGAAAAGGAGAAAGAGGGCGAGAAAGAGCAAGATGAAATGAAAGAGACGGAGAAAGACAAAAACAATGAAAAGGAGACACAGACAGAGACACAGGAAGATAATGAGAAAGAGAGAAAGAGAAAGAGAACAAAAGAATCAAACGAAAGAGAAAGAGACAAAATAAAAGAGACAGAGAATCGAAACAGAAAGGGAAAGAGAAACATGAAGAGACAGAGAAAGAGAAAGACAAGGAGAAAGAGAAAGTGAAAGATGACGGGAGAGAGAAAGTGAAAGATAATGAGAAAGATGAAGGGAAGCCGTTGCGTTTGTGCCGCTCCAGAAGCACTGTAGTATCTGGTAAGATTACATGTGCAGGACTGCACATGAAGGTCCGGCATTTCTGTCAGGTTTGCGCAATGCTGATTGAGAGAACTCAAAGGCTGTGAGTTGGTGGGCAAGCCTCGACAACACCTTTGACAGCTCCATCATTCCAATTACAGCCTTGGATCAAGTAGGCATTCCCACACACATGCCCAAGCCACCCATGTGTCAACCATTGAAAAATGCCGTCGGACCGACCCTCGAAGCGTGCACTTGCCTCGCTGTCGGTCAGGATTTTTGCGACGTGTCGGCCCAGAACCCGAGTACAGCCAAGAGCAAAGCCGCTCAAACACAATGACGCTGGTAAACACACCGCAAATTGGTCTGGACGAGCCGGAAATCTCAGCTTCTTTCTGCCTTCTTTGCGTATAAGCCCTTCTGACAGGTTGTTGTCGCTATAATCTTAGGTTGCCTTGTCAACTGCAGCGGTATCAAATAATAATCCCGTTGAACAAGCGCTAAAGCTTGCCACGCAGCTGTCTACTTCCGCTTGCTATGTACCGCCCACATCTACTGATACCCACACGTGTCACACGGCCACCTACCCAACTCGCCAACAGTCCCAAAACAAGCCAAAAAAAATGGACGTCGAACCCAACGGAAATCGCCAACGAACGGGATCCTCTCATAGGTGTCCTTTTGAGTTAAAAAAAGACGGGTTTCCCTGTCAGATGGGGCATAAATTCAAAAAAACATCATCCAAAACCAGTGGAACCCATCTATTTCTAACCAAACTCTAACAGTAACCTAAAAAGGGACCACCTACTGTGGATGGACCAAGAAGATCCCGCATCAGTCGCCAGGTCGCTCTTTATCCCCATAGGCTCGCGTTCATTTTCGCTTCGCCCGGCTCCCCCGGGGGAGTTTCGCTCCGTCCGGGCGGCATGCCGTAGGCCTCCCGCACCTTGGTGGCCACCCAGTCCTTGGTCGCCCAGGCGCCGTACCTGGCCAGCGACGTCTGACGTCTGACGCCCGACGCCCGTTGAAAGCGCGGGTCGGGGTTGGTGGCTTTTCAGCTGAACCGTGGCATCCTTCCAGAAAACTCTAGGTGGCACCGTGTGGTTCTTTCGGGCGCGGTGTGCTTGAAACACGAAAGGGCAAAGGGGTCCCGCTATTTTTGACACATACCCAAATGCTAGGAGAATTTGTCTAGGCCATGTGGCCAGGTCACCCTGAAATGGGCCCAATCCATGGCTCTGAGCCTTGAAGAAGGCACACCGTTGCCACGCTTAAACATAGAGACGCCCCCCCAAGAAGGACAACCATCGCTCGCACTCGCGCCCCTAGCGGCTACTAGCGCCTCTGACAAGTGACGCGTTCATGATTTCAACCGGGCACATTGCGCCCTCAATAAAATTCAGCCCAAAAACCACATGAGTGAACCCCCCCCCATTATGGAGAGGTGCCTTCGTTGTTTGTTCTTTTTTCTGCGGAGGATTTCTCGGGGTTTCTCCTCTCTCTGACGAGGCAAGGGCAAGCTCCAAGATAGCGCGAAGCGAAATTTCGGATCTCGCCTGGCAGGATCTGCCTCCTTGAGCTCGTAAGGAGGCTCCCCCGTGCAGATCCAATCCTCACGGGCTCGAACGAGCAGCGGAGACCGCGAGGCAGAAAAAGAAGGCCGGCACGTGCTTTGTCTTGCTGGTGCTCAGCAGGGAATGAAATAATGACCCCATTCGCTATGGTTTACTGGAAAGGAATAGGTTCATTCCCAACACCCTGGGTCATTCCCTACTGAGCACCAGCAAGTTCCAGGTCACCTTGCAAAGGTCAGAAACCATGTTGACAATTCGGGACGTTTGCTCATCGAGTTGGAGCAATTCAATTCGGCCCAACTATGTCCAAAATGGGAGCCCCCTTTGTGCTCATTGAGGCAAACCAAGATGAATCCAACCCATTTGGAGGCTTCCTAATTTTGCCACATAGCCATAGGCGTTGCAGGCCTTCCCTGTGTAGCCCACAAGAAGAAACCAAACCGCACACCGACCCAGTGGTTTTATTTTCACTGTCCATGGCAGGGCAACCAACAATGTGGTTGCAATCCTTGGGTCCCTAGTGGCAGCGGCAATGGGCCTGGCATAGAATTCCGTTGTATGATGCAACACTTGGCAGAGCGAACACCTGACACCGGAGATTGGTAGGAACATAGCAGTGTTACAATGGCGCGGTCCTAAGCATCGCAGATTGCTGCCACAATTGGTTCCCTTCACAGGGAGTCGTCAAAGCTGTTTCGTGTCCGAATGAAACGGTTTGTGTCTCCCAACATTGCTGGGTAACCAGTCATCTCAATGGGCAAGTTCAGATCCGGTGTCGCACAGATTTGCCAAATCACCAGACCGAAGGTAATTGCACCCGAATTCCGAAAGGGATGGTGAGGAATCGACACCTACAAGTAAAGCCTCCAAATCAACGGGAGTCTCTTTTGCTAGGGATACATCTTGATCAAAGCAAATTAGAATGGCTACGTTTTCTCCAAGCAACAACGGAAAAGGAACTCTTCATTTTCAATCTGCCGTTCTTGGTCACATCAAACGTGGTCAGGTAGGGGCCCACTCTCAAACAGGTGCTGCATGCTTCTACTCTTCGTGCCTGCTCAGAGTTCTTACGGCCAAATATGTGTGTCTATATGTGTCCATCCAGCCTCATGATGGGTGGCCCAATATCAGTCTTTGTCAAGTTCTGAAAGAATGCCCCCAAACCCGCAACAAAGGGAGCAATCAGGAAAGGCCCTTGGCACTAAACAATGAGCAGTGGACTCACAAGGAAGCCAACACGAAACGTCTCTGTGCGTGTGTGTGTGTGTGTGTGCTGTGTGTGTGGAGTAGCTCTTTCATCATGGCTTATTTCTAACACATACCCAGAGCAGCCATGACAACAAATGTTGAATGTTCGTAACACATACCCATGGCGGTGAACAACAAGACGGGCCTATAATTTTCGACAGGGCGCAGCGAGGTATCTGCTCAGACCAGCGCTGTGGGCAATGCCATACGACCTAAGCGACGATGTGAGACCAGGCTTGGGCGCCTATGCGAACTGGTCCTAATTTGACTCTTTCTCCACATTCAACTGTTGCGGCTGCGCATCCTGTGGAGAGCTTTCAACGACAAGTGTATGTAAGCTAACCAAACGGCACCACACAAGCAAGCGATAACTCTTTTATCCAAGCAATGTGTTGGTGCCAGGGACTCATCTTCCCCTGTCAGATGTCTACGGCTGGGTGGGCCCCATGGGCCACCCACCACAAACTCTCAAAAACTGAAGAACGGGTGTGCAGACTGATAGCGCCCGCCCCTGGGCTGGGCCAGGCCACAGGGGGGTCTGCCACCAGGGGAAGTGAGTCACCCACCGGCTCCGGTCACGGGAGCATGGGTGGGCCCACGCTAAGATCAATGCATCTCCATTCAGGAGACGCGGGAGAAAAATGAACTCCTCGCAGAGTTCCTGTCTAGGGACTCTGTGCAAAGGGTCGAATCCAGAGAAATCTGGGTGCGTCAGCTCCTCGGCCCACTGGTTGAATTCCCGGGGCACGTGGTTGGCCGCCAGCGAGCAGCCATGGGTGTGGAGCAGGAAGACCAGCTCCATCAGGATAGCCGCGGTGTAGGGCTTCTTGGATCCAAGGTTGAGCATCGCCATGACGTTGCCCTGATTGTCACTGCCCACCGGGAGTCGGACCCGGGAGGACAGAGGGCCTTGGTGCGTGAGGATCATGTTACAGAGGAAGAGCGTACCCAGCATTTCCAGAGCCGCAATCCTCCGCTTGGGATCCCCATTCTTGAATGCCTAAGGGTACTCCTCCACGTGGATCTGCTCGTGGAACCAGTACACCTCCTTCTTTTCCGGCTCCATTTTGTTGGCGCACCAACCTCCCACAAATGCCAGTCCTTCATCCGAGGCGCTAGCATCGCTGCAACCCCACCAAGAGGACTTCGGCAAGTAAGGGGAGTACTGGACGAAGGGCGTGTTGAAGAGGAACCGCAGCATGAACGCCAGCATCCTGACCACCTTAGGGGGTTTCCCCACCGTGGTGGTGGCCATTTTCCAGGCCCACAGTGGCTGAAGCATCGACTTCGCCAGCGGACATGCAGCAGTTGCCCATTGGATGCGGCCCAGGGCCTTCTCGATGTCCTTGAGTGCATCGCCTGCCCTTCCACCATGATCTGCAAGACCTCCATCACCAGGATGTGTTTGTTGGCGGCCATGAGAACCTGCGGGATGTTCGGGTGGACCACGAAGCCCAGCCACGTGTTGACCTCCGCCAAATGTGTCTTCTTCCAGCTAAGCGGGGTGCCCAAGGCCAGGAGTGTTGCCAACAGCGCCACCGCCAAGTTTACTGCCCCTTCGCTGCAAAGCAGCCACAGGAAGTCATCCACAAAGACGAAGTTCCAGTCCACTTGAGGGAAAAGTGCGTAGAGGACCCTGAGTAGAAGGGCTGCCAGGCGTCCCCAGTAGGATTGGGCACTGGCCATGCCATAAGTGCCTACCTTGTTCACCCACCATTCTTCCCCACCTGGAACCACCAGTCCTTCCTGAGGACCTTCACTCTCTGGTGGGCCTTGGTGACGTCTGCCTTGAGCAGCACCCACCTGGTGCCCGGCTCCGGCCATTGCCAGCCCTCGGGTGGAGGTTTGGCGACCCCTTCTGGGGCCGGGGGAACCCTGAGAGGGGGGTCCCTCCTCAGCTGCCGCATGTAGCCAATGAAGAGCTTGTACCCCATCCAGCACCGTCGGAGCCGTCGTCCTTTCCACCGTCTGGTTCCTGATGGTGTCATTGGCCCCGCCCACCGAGCCATCGTAGATGGTGCGGATCTTGTCCCCTTCGTCGATGCCCGCTAGGGGGCCTGGGCAAAGATCCTCCACCTTGCAGCCACAGCGCGCTGCTGCCTCTACCGTGAGAGGGCCATCTACCATGCCCATGGGGACCTCCTCCAGGAATGTGCTACGGATGAGCTCACTGAAGTGATCCGCTGAGGGGTAGTTACCCCGGCCCGTGGGATGAGGGAGTTCCTGCAACTCCGGCTCCTCCCCTTTGAGCTCCTTCTTGAGTGGCCAGATGCCCGGCGAGGCTAGGGGTGGGTCCGTGACCCCCAGTGGTCCAGATCCCGAGGAAACTGGTGGTCGGGGTCCTGAATGTTCAGCGCGTGCAAGATGTCCAGGAAGAACCGCTGGTCGGCCTGCCCCTGGCGCCAGGATCTCCCTGATATCTTCCAGCAGGTCCTCCGGGAAGGGGTGTGACCCGTCCCCCAAAGAGAGCGACTCCTGGAGTTTGGACACAGATCTTGGCCCCCATCGCTGCTGCCAGTGGCCGAGTCCACGGGGCCAGCCGTCCAAGTGAGGGCTTCCCACCCCCGTCCCTGAGGGGGCGCTGTTTGAAGGCCATCTGGAGGTACATCACCTTGTCGGAGAGATTTGGGTCGTGCGTGATCGGCAGGGTGGTGGGCCGATCCGAGATCTCCATGCAATGGCGTGCCCATGGCTGAAGGGGAAGAGTTGTTCGACCTCCCTGCCCGCCGGCTGTGTTGGTGTCCGGACCTCAGGATTGTCCGAGGCCGAGACCGGACGTGAGCCCAAGGTTAGTCCCGCCAGCACTTGTTGGCCGGCCTTCAGCCTCAGGGACTGGCGCTTGTTGTCCCCCGGCGTGCGGGGAGATGGTTCCCTCTGCCGCCTCGGGGGGGTCGTTGGGTTCACTTGGGGCACCGTGCCCCCCGGCCTCAGCGCCTCCAGGACGGGTCCCGCTCTGCAAAGGATGGCCGCTGCGAGGCCCTGCATCATCTGCTCTGGGTCACTGGAGTTGAGCTTTTCCCCCCTGGGGTGAGCTCCGTGATTGCATCGCAGATCATGTGAAGGGGGGAGGTCCGTTGACAATGTCGTGGACTTCACTACCACCTGGCCCAGGCGGCACTCGTCGAACTTGATGAGGGAGTGGTGGAGTGCGTTCGCCCATTGAATGTAGGCCCGTGTGACCCAGATCGATGAGCACCTCGCTGCGCTCGGGCTCTTGCTGCACTCCATTGGGTCCATCGGGCGCTCCAGGAAGGAGGAGCCCACCTGCGGGACCGTTCGTTGACCTAGTCCCCGGTAGGCCAGCGAGGTCAGGTACATCTGTCGGAGCATGAGCACGCTGTCGTTGTCCGTGTCCTCCCTTACCCGGGGCTCCAGGTCCTCCAAGCCCCACAGGGTCTGCTCCGCCCTGCCCCTCACCGGCGGCGGGCCTCCCGGTTTGGGGAACCATCTGAGAATGCTCCACATTCTGCAGTTGGGGCCGCCCCCCACAAAGGCGACCTTCCCCGCCATGGCCATGGAGCACATTGTCGAGTAAGGCTCGTCTCCCAGCATGTCCTGTCCAAGATCGCCACCCTTTCGCCTAATGTCCACTGCCCAAATGTACTCCGAGAAGGCCGGGTTGTAGGCATGGAGGTAGGCATCCAGGGCCCCCGCGTCGTCCTTCCCAGCGTACAGCAGGATGAGGGTCGGCTTCAACGACTCCGGCACTGGTCGTGGCGTCCACCTTAGTCTGGACCTCAGTCTTTCCGGGGTGTCTTGCATCCAGGGGAAGGTGGGCTTGTCCCCCCTGAAAATTTCCGTGTGTCCTTTGTCCGACCCACTGGTCGTCTGGCCCTGGGCTTGCTGCTTGCCCTGACGGTTCTGCCCGCCCTTGGAACGCCCCTTGCCGGGCGGATCCTCTCCTCTGGGTCTCTCTGGGGGTTCTTCCCACTGCCTCGGTGGGTGCGGGGGAAAAGGGTGCTTCCGCCCTTCTGGAGTGCCCTGGCTGGATCCACTCCCTTTCTTCGGTGGAGGGGCTTCCGGGGCCGGTGGCACCCTGGAGAAGTCCCCTCCCACCTGCGGCCGTCCTGGCCTCCCCAACTCTGTCTGCCTTCCGCCGTGGCTCTGGTGGGATTGGCTCTCCCCCGCTGTGTGCGCTCTCGCACTGGTGGCCTGTGATCCCTTCGGAGACCAGGCAGCCACGGGGCCCATGGCACCCTGAGTGGCCTCCTGTCACTTGGGGAGGTGTGGGCATGCCTGTGGAACATGCTTCGATGGGGGGGCATCACACACCCATCCATCCTTCCTGACCGGGCAGTTGTGGGATCGGCCGCATGATCCAGGGCATTTGTTGTGAAGGTGATGATCCCTGCAGTACGCCACCCCTTTGGGATTCTTGAACGCCCAGTGGTCTGGCCATGGGGTCGAGGAGGTGTTGGGAGACTTCCCTTTGCCGCCCTTGCCCTTCGGCTTGGAGTGGGTAGGCCCCGAGGACCAAGATCCTTTTCCCCCCTTCTTGGGCTTCTCCCACTGAGTCTGCCACACCTTGGGAGCCTTGCTCTTGCTCTTCCCCTTCGTCGGCGCCCTGTTCAGGTGCTCATAGACCTCCCGTTGCCAGAAGAGGAAGTCGCCCCTGATGTTCTTGAGGGCTTCGGAGAGAGTGGTGCCCTGGTGCACCATTTCGTGAATCTTGCGCCATGCATTGCGCTCTGCAAACAGCAAGGTGGTGTCGCTCGGATAAGGTTTCCTGCCGGCTATGTCCTCCCCATAGAACCAGGCATACCAGTCGTCCAACTCCTCCTTGGTGACCCTCAGGTTGCCAAATTGCGGCAGTGCTGCCGTGCACATCAGGAGCGTCGTCCTGAAGGTTAGGTGCAATCGTTCCAGCTGGCGCCGAGATGTAGGGTGGCTCCTCACCTCTTCTTCATCCTCCCTGTCCCAGCCGTCCACCGTGATCTTCTTGTGGGTGGATGAAGGGCGTTCCCCTTCTTCCGGGAGCGCGCTCACGATGTGTTTCGCCGGGATGTAGCCCAATTCGCCCTTGGCAATCATGCGCCATTGCTTCTTGAGGTAGCCATCACTACCCTGGAATTCCAACCTCGGCTTCGGAGCCCCATGCGTGGCCACGTAAGCATCTTCCAGCTGGCGCCTGTCACACAGGACTTCCAAGGGAGCCTTTGCCGGGCCCGCATGGCCCGCCGGGTGGTCACCCTGGTTGCCCCCCCTGACCAAG